TCGCTACAGCAGTAGACTAGTGTTTGATAATGGAGATAATGAGTATTCCGCCGTTGTTAGGTCGTAGACGGATGGCAGAGCATGGAACTACGGGCGCAACTTGATTTTTGTCATCTACTTTCTGAATGCTGCAAAAATCCTGCTGCACACAGCAGAGGTTGTCTACTCCGAGGCAGCCAATGACACAGCATAAAAAAGCCCCCACGAAATGAGCATTCCTGCAATACCTCTAGTCTGTCGTGCCACTCTCGCTTTCCCACCACGCCCGTGCTGCTTTGACTCAACGAACGCGTGCCTTCTCTTGCTGGCTTCCAACATGCCAATGCTCGTAACCGTAGTACTGCTGTCCCCGGGTTACTGTAGTGTACGGGCTGTACTGTAGTAGCAGCAGCAGGCGAACAGCAGTCACTGCAGCAGCACCTTTTCTAGTGTATGTCTACTACTACTGTAGTCAGTCACGATCATCATGTTTTCATACGGCCAGCTCATTCTGTAGAGGCCACACCGCGGTCGGCACCGCCGTTATCATCCGGGGTCACGGCTGGCCATCCATCTCCCGGGAGGATGATCGGGTCCTCGCCGTGCCCACGCGTCTACTGTGTTATTTTGGTGTCGCTACGTGTGTGCATATGGAGTCTCACTCACCTCTCACACTTTGCGCGCCGCGGGGCAGGTGAGACAAGAGGCGATGTCAAACTGCGAGCAGTATATGTTGTCAATAGCGGTAGTAGCTATAGCCTTAGCCATTGCTATTCAGGAAGCCATGAAAAAACTGCCCGAGTAGTTGAGAGAGCAGCAGGATACAGCATTCATAGCACCAACGGCAATAACTCCGCGACGTGCGACCCAAGGAGATCGTGCGAAAAAATGGCGTGTTTGTGAAGAGGGTACTGAGAGGACTGGCTGCGATTTGATTCAGACACCGAAGGCACGGAGAGGGTATGGTCTTTGGGTGATATAATCAGTTGATGAACCTGCTGACCCGAACAAACCCCGTCTCGACAACATGTGGTATTTTGGGGTACATTCTGCAGCATCTATAGTGTGCACAAATATTATCACGATTGATTGTTCGTGTTCGGGAATAATAATGTGGTTCGACCGTCCTACCGTCCGTTCCAAATAGAACCTATGTACCATCGGCAGATACTAGGTAGAAGGCAAGCACTCCGTAAAGCAGGCACGAAACCACCACTCTCTATGTACTTCTTCCTCTGTGTCATAAGTCTATGCCGTGATGTTTTTGCGCCCCCTTAACGGTGTCCGATCTGTTTTCCGATTTTTTCGTTGATTTCTCCAAATTCTCCGGCGTTTTTTTAGCAAGAAAACCTTTTTTTTTTGTCGGTGCTTGAACCATGCGGCTGAACGGCGGGAAAACATTAAGATGGCCTAAAAACGGCCATATTTTGCCCTTTTCCAGGTAGGGGGTGGGTGGGGCTAAACGCCTGTCTGTCCCGCCCGAAAAAAACTCAAGAATCATCCCCACCCAAAAGATAACCCCCCTTCTGTACTCCATCAGCCAAACGCGCCCCCCATAATAATAGTGACCCCCCACACTCAAATCATGACACTTGGGAGTTCCACACGAAGACCAAGACACTTGGAGGCCCCACACAAGAAACGAGACACTTGCGGGGCAACAAGCAACAGTAGTAGTGCCCGAACCCAACCCACCCCTCCTACTCAACGATACGTGCCGCGTCGCCAATACTCAAACCAGTGTAATCGTGACCCCACACAAAAACCAAGACAATTTTGGTTCCACATTTAAATCAAGACACTTGGGGTTCCCACACTAAAACCAAGACACTGTGGGGTAAAAAAAGTGTCTGTTGCTGTCGGGGGAAAAGAAAAGGAAAAACTCGATTATATAGTCGTCCTCGCTGTCGCTGGGACTCGATGCCATCCAGGCGCAAGCCTTCTCAATAGCATCCTTATCGTATTTCACCACCCTCTCCAACCTCCCTTCCTTCTGTAGCTTTCTTACCCCGGTGTGTTCTGCTGTGCAAGTCGTAAAATTCTAAATAATTTATACCGAAATACGGCCAAAATGGGCATATTTTGACGTAATTTTAGTGTGTAGCACGGTCTTCGATTTTTTTGCATCTTCGTATGCTCTTTGCCTTTCTAGCGCACCCGGTCAAAGGCTCGACGTCAACGTTTAAGTACCCCAACGACTGAGCGCCCATAACGGCACAGACTTACGATACAGAGGAAGTATGGTGTTTGACGGTGTGGTCGAGGGTATGTAGCTATCGACAGCGCCCTCTCCTACGCAGTAAGTAAATCAACACCTCTTGAAGTAGAACATATATATTTGGGGTCCGGCCTCCGTTTCAAATTTCGTCACCACCACCGCCGAGCATATCGATCATTTGATTGAGTTCAGAACTGGATCAACGGCTGATTTTCTCACGAGTCAATTATCCTGTCTGTCTATCGCCAGCATCTGACTGAGCCTTTTTCTCGAGGTTTTACTCTTATTCGCGGGCACCACAGGAGGAGAAATAATAAATGCGCTGGAGAGCGGTACAGCCGGAGAAGCTTTTCGCGGTTCCGCCCCGCCCCTCGCACACCTGTCAACCTTGGCAGGGGCTTGGGGGGTGCTGTCCGTTCTTCGTCTCGTAATTGATGGTCTCACCCCCTAAGCGGGGGTGTTCACAGAAACATCGGATATAATTCACTGTTGCAAACATACTACTGTTATTGCTGGTGCTGGTGCTGCAGTTCGTTGATGTCTTCGGTAGGTCTGGAGAGTTCATGATGCGTGTAGGTTGTGACAAAATGAGTTGATCTCTTGATGCCTGTCTGCTGGGGGGCTCCGACTGCCCAACAGGCTGCACGCGACAACGGCCACAAAACAACTACTACTGTACATTCCTCTTGCCTTTGCAACGTTATTGTGGTTAACGGTCTCTCATATGTACGTGTGCCGAGGACGACCGACCGTGCGTGGTGCTTCGAAGCACATTGCCAGCTGAAACAATCAAAGCGGGTGTACAGCAGACAATCGGTATCGGCGCTTGGTCGCATTTCCTCTGCACGATCTCCTATAATATTCGACCATTGTGTATCGCTTCCATGGAAGAAGTCGGATCTGCTTTCATGGAGGAAGCTGATGTCACTTCCATAGAAGCTAACCGAACGTTCTGTATTTCCATGGAAGGACGACAATTCCTTGGAAGCGATATCCACTTCCTCCATTAAACAAAAGAGATCATATACAAGTCGATGTGCCACTTCTTCTTTCTATGGGAGAAGTTACCTTCCACGAAAGTCCCAAGGAAATCCCGTGGAAGTGGAATAGCTTTCTTTCATGAAATTCGAAGCTTAGACTTCCATGGAAGATATTCAAAACAGGTACAGGTCTGCTTCCATGGAATTTCAAAGCCTCCGGGTTAGGTTCCATGGTCATTTCAAAGGTAGGGTGAGGGTTAGGACTAAGGTTAGGGTAGGGTTAAGGTAGGGAAGCTGGAATGACTGCAGACAGTTTGGTGAAAGTTGCGTGGGCTAGCGTTGGGGTTAGGGTAAGGAAGCTGGAATGACCACATGTTAATGTCCAGACGCTTTCTTCGTGGCAGGTGCTTTCATGGAAATGTCGGTACTTTCGCAGAAGGTGGTTTCCACCTGCCTCTGTCACCCACTTTCATAGAAGTTGGATTTTTTCTAGGAAATTTTCCTTCTTCCATTGAAGTAGCAGAAACCCGGTCAAGCAAAGAGCCTCCGTTTCCATGGAATCTCGTCGTGCTTATGTGGAAAGTCCGAAATGTGACTTCCATGGAAGCAACGCTTGGTTGATATCGCGTGATTCTACTTGTATAGAACGGATTTACTTCCATAGGAGTTGCTTACCGCTTCCGTGGAAGCATCATGGAAGACGGAACCCGAAACAGACGAACGAACAGATTCATTCCACGGAATATGTATAATTGACTTCCATGGACCTCTAATTTCCATGGAAGTCGATATCGAATTTCGTGGAGGAAGTGACAGAGTGACTTCCCACTTCCTCCATGGAAGCAGGTACCAACTTCCATGGGAATCAATTTCGACTTCCATGCACGGTTAAACTCCATTTTTCAAATAGAGTTGGATTCGGCCCCTTCGTTTGATGATACATGCGTGGCAAATGGTGCTGAGGCGTTCTACTTCAAACCCAAAGTGTCCGGTTTGTTTGGTATTCTGATTTCGAGTTGCTTCGTCATGTCGGCGCCTAAGTCACAAAGTCTGAGAGAGAAGGAACCAGTGCAAGCAACACACAAACCTCGCGCATGATTCTCCCTCAAGAACTCTCTCCCTCTGCTCACAAGCCAATATATATATCCAGCCCGGGGATATTATCTGGCTACTGCTACCGTAGAATGACCAAGTCCCCAAATGATACTTGACCATCCAACTACATGCAGTTGTACGGCACACACAACAAACCCCAATGGTAAATGAAAAAAAACAACCAAAGCACCACTGGTACATTACTGTAGGACATGGTAACCAGTTTAGTTTCCGTTCGCCCAACTTCGGAAGTACCTCGTGCAACGGGATGGATGGATGGGTGAGCGGGAAGGCTACTGTACTACACATTTCTTTCTACATGTAAAATGTCTACCCATATATTGGCCAGCTCCTCCATTCTCTGGCGTGCTCACGTACTCCATGGTCCTCTTTCACGCTCGCAAGCGTGACGACCCCGTACAGCATACAGCACCACGTGCGCTCTCTCTGCTGGCGTCCAGAGAAGTGTTGGGGGGCACGCGAAATCCTTCCACTTTTCTTCTCTGGTTTTCCAATGCTGATTAGAGTATGATGCGTTGCAAACTCTATCGGTTACAACGAAACGGCACTTGATTCCGTCTCTGACAACAAACTTTGCTCCAAAAGAACAAAAAAAAAGCCATCAATCAATCAAAGTTTTTTTTGCGAGTCTACATCACCTCCTACACACAACCATTTCACACCGCTCCATCAGCAACTGCAGCCAAACCGCTACTATTGTTGACAACATGGGTGTATTCGGTCGTACCCTGGGATGGCTCAAGACTGCCGGCGCCAGCATCTTGCGCACGCCGGTTGAGATGTGAGTGCCGTCATTGGTAGGTCCATTCGGTACCGAAAAGCTACGCATGGCAAAATATGCGAAATATTGACTTCCAAAAGCTCCTCAAGGCATTTGTGTCTTGAGGAGGTCGATGCTTGGGCAGTTCAGTGCTGCGGCAGTATATATGCGAGCCTTTATTGCGTACATATCGTGGGTAACGACGCGTCTTCTCTCCCCGCTATCACGCTTGAACATACCACGCCCGCCGCCCCAGAGCCCAACGCCATCGGGACGTTGTCTGCTTGATGCTCGAGGAGGACTGCTCGTCGTCTTTCCTTTCCTCGAAGATGCTCGGAACCGACGAAGCGGCGGTGTTCATCGTCACCGTGGTCGCCATGGTCTTGGTGAAGCGGTATGTACATACTACAGTAGTTCTCTCGTTTGGCCATTTTTTCAGTACTACAGGTAACCCTGATGCACACGTGTGTTGATAAAATCATCATGATGTGGTACTCGAAACAAGACTTTTGTAACCGAAGAATTTGTATTTGAAACATAGACTACTGCTGTAGACTGAGTTTTTTGTAACCGAACGACAACAGCGTTGGATTTTCCTACAACTATGACGTCATTCTATATAGTCTAGCCTATGGATAGGCATTTTCATTTTTCCTTCTTGGAGCGTGAATCACTTTTGATGTCCAGGCAACGTGTACGCCATGATCATGACGACATTCCCTCAACAATGTGAATGATGCTTGATATCCGTTGCTCACACAAGTTGGAGACGCGGCGGCCGGTTCCTTCAAGACCAAGTTTGTGACGAGGACGGCGCTGATGAGGACGCCGAAGGCGAACAAGATGCCGCCGCCGCCGCCGCCGCGCAAGAGGCTGCAGAGGAGGTGCGGCAAGACCAGACGGTGACGTTTATCAACGAGTGCGGAATCTGGTAATTTTCCATTGCTCCAGCGAAATCGATTTCCGATGTTCATGATCGATGCTGTTGACAGTTTTCCACTTCCTCTCACGCTCGTTTCTCATCCATGTGTGCGCCGTCCTGCTGTAATGCGTTTCTAGAACGAGCGCATGGTCACGTTGGAGGAAGAGAATTCGACACTGCGGTTGTTGAACGAGCGTCTTGATGGGGAGGTATCGACGCTTCGGGACCAGCGCAAGCTCGCAGAGGTGTGTGTGTGCGTGTCACGATTTTCTCCCGCTCTGAGAGAGAGCTGAGGTGGTGTGGCGAAAATTTTGCCATTTTGACCTGGGCTTGGAGAGCGTTGGTGCGGGTAAGGAAATAGAGTGTCTGCTGGAGCTCCAACCTTTCACGCAAGATCCAATTGTAATTGTTGGGTAATCAAGGTCAACACCTCACCCTTCCCGCCATTCCGTCCTTACCCTCGGGTTGAACAATGACGTAACCAGGACGCACTGGCGCTGGCCAGCCACCACTCACGTGACCAACAGAGGGATCATGCCCAGGTCAGGGTGGTGAAGGGTCTCTGAGGGTACATACCCCGGAGAATAAACACAGTCTACCCTTCCGGGTCCCCCTGCTTTAACAAGCTCCCAATATATGGTTGGACTGTGGTTCGTCTCTAGTTTGCGTTGAGTGCTAAGTGTTGACGGGTTCAACGCAGCGAGTGGCCGTGTTTATGATGCGGCTCGCTGTGTTGTTATTGAACTTGTTTTAGCTGTCTGCGCGGGTGCGGATTGTAGATATCGCTGGCTTCACTTTCACCGTGGGGGAACTACAGATACGTCGCTTTTTGAAGTCACGCCCCAAGATTAACTGCCAAGACCGCTACTATATGTAGTTCCGACAGATGCGAATAACTCCAACACTTTTCTTGCACGAGACGCTCTGAAGTCGGGACATCTCTTGGGCGTTGCTCGAACTTTTCATTTTCTTAAGCAGAAGGTTCATCTGCTTGAGGGTGTCAACCAAGAGGTTTTGGACCGACTCGACGAAGAGCAGCGACAGCGCGTCGTTTTCGAAGGGGCCGTGGAAGCTCAGCGGGAGGGGCACAGGTGTGCGCGTTGCAGCGTCTGATTGTTGGGGAGTTTGTCACCTCACGATGGCGGTTATGCATCGTGACAGAGCCAATGGTGCGCGTAGCATATAGTTGTTCTTATTGCTGTTGTGGTTATTCTTGGTGTTGTTCTTTTTCTTGCCTTTACAAGAAAAACCGTCCCGATCTCCCTCTGCTAAGTACCATCAAAAATCCGTACTGGTGGGAGATTGAGGCGCACGACGTCCTCAATTTTGCTAGAGCTGATCTTGACGAAGAACACACACATATTCGGGGTAATTGCGGACGTTAGATGAGGAGCACCGATGGCCAACCTTTGGAACTGAGGCAATGGTTAAACCACAGCAAGCAAGGTGGTCCGCCAATAATCGACAAAGAGTTCATCATGCACTTGATTTAAGGCCAGACACAATATTTAGCGATTCTCGCCCCTGTGCCCCAACCTCTCCTATTTCCCCTTCTTGTGCCTTCTTCGTGCTGCACCCGAACAACACAGAAACCAGGTCGCGGCAATGCAGCGGAGGCTACAGGCAGAACTGGCTTCCGAGCATCAGCAGCATCAGGAGAACCTGGATCGAGCGCACGAGCTGCTCGCCACCAGAAACAGGGACAATGAGGTGTTGGTGGAACAAGCTGCAGCCGCAGAGCGCACTGTCGAGGAAATGCGCAGGTGCGTGTGCTATAGTAGTGCCTCAACTGCTCGCCGCTCACATGCAAAGTGCCACGCATAGGCAACAGCACTCGAGACTCTTTGCTCCTGTGCCGTAACCTCTCTTTCTCTGCCCTCTGTGTGCTCGACCGCAACAATAGGGAGCGAGAGGCGGCGGCGATAGTGGCAACGCAGCTGCAGGAAGAACACCAACTGGCTGCTGTCCGTCTGAGCGAGCAGAACCAGGCCAGGTTGGCTGCAGTGCGCGAGGAGCTGGCTACCAGCGACGACGAGAAGGCCGTGTGGTCGCAGCGGGCTACGGTGGCCGAGCGTCAGGTTGAGGAGATTAACAGGTGTGGGTGTTGGTGTCCCGATCATTCATTCATTTCGATTCTAAGCTAGACGCGTAGACAATAGCACTCGGTCGAGATTGTTTGATGCTGTGTCACAGCCCCCCGCAATTGCCCTCACATTGCTTTCGTGCTCCTCCGCAATAATAGGGAGCGAGAGGCGGCGGCGATAGTGGCAGCGCAGCTGCAGGAAGAACAGCAACTGGCTGCCGTCCGTCTGAGCGAGCAGAACCTGGCCAGGTTGGCTGCAGTGCGCGAGGAGCTGGCTACCAGCGACGACGAGAAGGCCGCGTGGACGCAGCGGGCTACGGTCGCCGAGCGTCAGGTTGAGGAGATCAAGAGGTGGGTGTTGGTGTCCCGATCATTCATTCATTTCGCATTCTAAGCTAGACGCGTAGACAATAGCACTCGGTCGAGATTGTTTGATGCTGTGCCACAGCCCCCCGCAATGCCCTCACATTGCTTTCGTGCTCCACCACAATAATAGAGAGCGAGAGGCGGCGGCGATAGCGGCAGCGCAGCTGCAAGAAGAACAGCAACTGGCTGCCGTCCGTCTGAGCGAGCAGAACCAGGCCAGGTTGGCTGCAGTGCGCGAGGAGCTGGCTACTAGCGACGACGAGAAGGCCGCGTGGACGCAGCGGGCTACGGTCGCCGAGCGTCAGGTTGAGGAGATCAAGAGGTGGGTGTTGGTGTCCCGATCATTCCTTCATTTCGCATTCTAAGCTAGACGCGTAGACAATAGCACTCGGTCGAGATTGTTTGATGCTGTGCCACAGCCCCCCGCAATGCCCTCACATTGCTTTCGTGCTCCACCACAATAATAGAGAGCGAGAGGCGGCGGCGATAGCGGCAGCGCAGCTGCAGGAAGAACAGCAACTGGCTGCCGTCCGTCTGAGCGAGCAGAACCAGGCCAGGTTGGCTGCGGTGCGCGAGGAGCTGGCTACCAGCGACGAAGAGAAGGCCGCGTGGACGCAGCGGGCTACGGTCGCCGAGCGTCAGGTTGAGGAGATCAAGAGGTGGGTGTTGGCGTCCCGATCACCGTCGTTTGTTCATCATCAGTGCTCACACGTAGATAGTAGCACTCGGTCGAGGTGTATTTTTGGCTGCGCTCCTCTATTTTGTCGGCATCGTCGTCTCCAGAAAGCTCATCTCCACGATTCTTTCGATAGTGATCTTCTTGAACGTACGCACGCGAAATCGAGATCAACCCCTCGCGTTGCTAATGGCCTGCGTATAGGTTTCAAACCATCCCTCAATACCTATTCGAATCGGATGTCCACCCTATTTTTCGACCCCCGGGTTTGACTGCCAGCACCCACAGTCCAACTCACACGTCAGCGGCCTTTCAACACCCCCATCCTTCGTTTGCCCTGATAGAACCGAGGGGGAGAGGGGGGCGATTGCCGTCAGCAAAATCGAGAGACTGGAGAAAGATCTGGATGCATCAGCGCTTCGCGAGGGACACCTCCGAGCCGAGCTGGACGAAATGTGCGTCTCAATCGTCTCCCCGCCACTCGTGTCGACGACTCTACATCGAGTTACTGTAGGAGCCAAATATCGATGGACTGACGCTGGGTATCGGTGACCACTCGTTCGCTTACACTCCGGGGGCATGTCACTCAGTCACCTACTACCGCTATTAGCGTCTACAAAGCTTTCGTTCCTCCACGTACCCCTCTTGTTGTTCGCCCCGTTCATGCACTCTCAAGTTCAATCCGGTATACCAGGTACCTGGTACTCGTTTTCGTGCGCTAGGTAGGCACCCCATCGTCAATACGCCCTCGTTCAGTTCCTTCCGTCGTTCCCCCGTTGTTTCACAGCAGGAGGACAGCGGAAGAGACAGGGCAGAGGGAAACGCCGACGTTCAACGCGGATGTAAACGAGACTTCTGCGACTTCGAGCAAAGTCCAGGTGGGTAGGGCCAGAGTCATGTATTGACGTATTTTAGTCCTGGTTTAGTTGAAGCATGCATGGGGTTTTCCATGTGTGTCAATGATCCAGAAATATATGAAACGGCGGATGCAAGACGTGGCTCACGTTGCAAACATAGTAGTGACCAAAAGGTCTTTTCCGCTGGCCTCAACCGCCAAGTGTATTACTTCCAACCTCGACGCCTGCTGCCTACTTCTTCTTATGTCTCTACCGCTGGGGCACTCGTTTCATTTCGCACTCCTTTTTCGTTTCTGTTCTATTCGACGTCGGAAAAATCAGCAACACCGACTGGCCGGCTACGAAAAGATGGCCACCCACACCAAGCCACTGGTCGAGGGCGTCCAGGCATGGAGCGACAAATCGGTCATCATCACCATCGACAACTGCGGGAATTGCTACCAGAGCAGTTGGTTTCTGGTGACCATCCTGTGGGCTGTCCAGTGCCCGAAACGACTCCGGGAGCTGATCATCAAGCTCCTGCGCGGGTTTGCCCAGGATGGGGCACTAGTTCATGTTCCGCCACACTACCAGGTGCAGTTTGTTTTTCTTTGTCGTCGTGCTCACGTTTACCTTCAGAAATGTATGGCGTCCTTGAGGAGCTACAGGAGTATGTATATGGAATATTCTATCAGCTGAGCTGAAGGGGAACGTTTGGCTGGACTAGGGTGGCAGTTGTTGGACATATTGACATGTCTTCTTCGCCACGCAACAACCCAGCTTTTAGCTGGGCTTATCCGAACGAAGTACTTAAATTGAGTGGCGACACTTGATTTCTTCAGCGTCGTATTTCCCACGTATGATAACTATCGTAAATATGTATCATCCCCAGTACAGCCGCCACAATAGACGGACCGAGCGTCGCGAGTGCTCCGTCTCGAAAGGGACGCGTGGTCAATGGTCAAATGACTAAGGCAAGCAACAAATGAGTACGCCCCCCCCCCCCCCCCGGCCCTTGTTTGCCATCCGGGTTTGGGTTTTCCTCCCTTGGGAACGACGTTGTAAAACAAGCCCCCCCCCCCGGGGTTTGCCCCTCGGGTTTGGGTTTTTCTCTCCTTGGCACCACTTTTTAAAAAAAACCCCCCCCT